GTAAAGAACACTTTAATGCAAGCATAATTAGAATTTAATAAAATTATATATATACACACACATATATATTAAAAAAAATAAAACAGAAAGTAGCAGCTGCCTCTTTCTAACGTCACACAGGGTTTGTGTTTGTTCTTCTGTTTTGTTGTATGGTGGTTGACATCAAGAACATTTGCTCTTTTTCTCACCTTTGAGTTAAAGTGAGTTTTTCAGTTTTTCAAAGCTGATGGCAGGAGCAGCATGCACGCTTTATTAAAGTGAATCAGAGATGAATCGCCCTCATGCATGAATCTTACATCAATAACAGCCTAATTTTACACATGACCCATGATGAAGACACAGTAAAAAGAAGAAGAAGAAATGCATGGCAAATATAGCATGGTGCCAATGTTTTATACACAAACTATGTTTTCAAGGAAATTGATGTGTTATTAAGAGCTCCTGCTGGCTCCCCGGGAGTTGACACCCTGCTGCTGGGATACTTAGTCTAATATTATGTCTTTATATATTAGCTTGACAGTGATAGTCTGTAAGGTAACAAGACGGGAAAAAAATTAATTGTTGGAGCAACTTAAAAGAGTTGCTTTAATTTGTAACACACAGCTGAATTAAGTTTATACAAATTAGGTTAATGAATAAAATTTTTACTTGAAAATTACTTGATGCTTTTCAAATGAATAGTTTGCATTGCTGCAACTTCATTATGAGGAACGTCAACTTGAAAATTCCAGTTGAAATATCTGCTTTACCCGAACATAAAATGTAAAACATGGTTTTGTCACCTGGGATCTGTCTGTGTGGAGTTTGCATGTTCTCCCCGTGCATCGTGGGTTCTCTTGGGGTTTTTCCTCCGACAGTCCAAAAACATGTTGAGGTTAATTGGTGATTCTAAATTGTCCGTAGGTGTGAATGTGAGTGTGCTTGGTTGTCTGTCTCTAAGTGTGGCCCTGTGATAGACTGACGACCTGTCCAGGGTGTCCCCTGCCTTCGCCCTAAGTCAGCTGGGATAGACTCCAGCCCCTCCGCGACCCTAGTGAAGATTAAGCGGTGTATAGATAATGGATGGATGGATGGAAATTGGTAGAGGTCATAAAAGTAAACTTCCTTCATGCACGCAAAAAGTGAGATTCATTTGAAGCACTACTGTAGTTCAACTGCAGCTCAAATACACTTTTCACAGCAGTCAAATAATGTAGTGGAGCGACAATATTTACCTTTGAAATGCGTTGGAGTAGATGTAAAAAGTAGTTCATGCTTGAATACCTCAAAAATGCAATTAAATACTGTAATCGGGTAAATGTACTATTTAACATTTCAATTATGGAAATTAGATACAGACATTCCTGGAGTTGTTGTAATCACTTTCCTTTCACTCCATCTGCTCCATCCTCCCGTCAATCAGTTCCATCAGTTTTTACAAAACTCTACAGACACTCCCATCAGCCTCTGCTGGGCCTCATGTTTCATGCTGATTAGCAAATGCTAACATGCTAAGCTAAGACGGTAAACAGGATAAACCTGGTCAGTATCAGCACTGTCAGTGTGAGCATGTTACACTGCAGAAAGATCCCTGCCAGACTTTTCCTCCGCCGGCCAATCAGCACCCAAATCAGTCATCGGCTTCGACACAGACGCATCATGACATTAGCATTTAGCTCACAGCACCATTGGATCTAGTGCAGCCTCACAGAGCTGCAAGCGTCGCTGTAGACTCTCAGTGTTTTTGACCAAAGTCCTTTGTCACAGAGCTTATTATGTCCTTTTGTGTTGCTGTGCAGCTCTGTCCAAACAAATTACAGCCAATGCATGTTATTTTTAATGTATTGACTAATGAGCACAAATGGAAACCTCCTCTTAGACAGCAGAACATGAGAGTCATGTTCACACTGTCTCACCACTGTTTGAATTTTTACTTCTCTCATCCCTTTGCCATGCTTTGGTAAGCACAAGTGCTCTGTGTGTCTTTTACACATCACATGCTGTCCTTGTTTTTGCTGGGTATTCAAATTCTTTTTCTTTTTTCAAACCTTTACCTCTCGTTGCTACTTGGAGCTGCCGACATGAAATAAACAGCTTTAAATCTTTTCTCTGTGTGGTATTTTTTTTGATGTTGCGTAATAATTTGCTTCTTTTTTTTTTTGTCCCTCTCTCCGGTCATCTGCATAAAATCTTTCACCTGGGACACAGAAAAATAAATCTGAAGCTGTTGCAAGACACTACCTAAAAATAGGCAACACAGAGCAGTGAAAAGCTTGTAAATTAGATATGAAAGGACGATCCTAATAACATGTATAAAACCCCTGCGTAATCATGCGTAGAGGAGGTGGCGGTGACCTTGGCGGGCTAAAAATTCTTTTGTGGAAACTCAATTTGCTGCACAAAGAATGTTGCTGGAAATAATAGAGGAAAATGCACAATGATTGCTGAGAGTCTGACTATCTTTGGCTCTTTGCAGTGAGACAGCCGCAGGCGACAAAGATCTTATATCTTATGTTTGTTAAAGCTAGCCTGTGATGTTTTGTCATCATATTTTCAAGTAATGATGTAAAGAAAAAGGTTGTCAGGTGGAATATGAATTAGAATGCTTTTTTTTTTAAACCATCTCTCAGAAATGAGCAAGTCTAATCTGCTGCAACACATCAGAGTATTTTTCCAGTTTATCGTGTGACCAAAACATTTGTTTAATTCATGCATTGTTGAGGAGACCTTCCACTTTTTAAATTTTTTTTTGCAGGATTTTGCATCAGCCACCGTGGCAGCTTTAATCTGAAGCTTGTTTAAGATGTCACAGCGCATATACCATTCCTAAGTTTCAAGACAGTCAAATCAGAGTTTCTGAGTGTCAATATCTTTCTCTCATATCTTGACACCAGTGAACCAAAACCCTCATTTGAGATCTTATATTGATGCGCAGCCGCTCCACTGGCAATAAACCAAAGCTCTGACTGAGAATTCATACAGTGACAATTGAAACTTCTAAGAAACTTTTTATAAGTTTACATTACAGGTTTCCAGTCAGGAGATGCACCATCAAACAATGTCCGGTTCATGTCATATACTCACTTTTTTCCATCATTTTTTTTGTTTTTTAGACGCACTGTTGTTGTTTTTTGTGCTCCATTACAGGTGTAGTTTAAGGGCTGACAGCCGGAGATGAAAGGACGTATTCAAAGATCAAATTGTCCTGACACCTTTACACAGAAATCCGAAATAAACTAAAAATGTAAAAATGTTTAGCCAGAGGAAGCTGCGTCTCTGAGCCGGATCTTTGAGCAGATACGTTTTATTGTTCTTTCATGTTATGCTAAGGGCTTTATCAGCATTTATGAACAGTCTTTCATGTGAAATTTCCCTCTCAGAAACTGTAATATTCCTTTTGGAATAGTGAGACGCCGGCGGGATCGCTCTGCAGCACACCACTTTTTGAATTTCAAGCGTCTTTGGTGAAACGGTTATATTATTAATCACACATATCTAAAATCAGCACGGGACTGTTTCCATGGTGATTTTATGACATTTATTTAAGCTGTCTCTCAGGGTGAGGATTGTTGCGCAAAAACAAACCCTCCTCCTGTCTTCTGCCGTGTCACGTCGAGTCAGAGATCAAATACTGCGAGCAAACATATTGGTATCACGGTGCCCCGAAAAACGGAGGATCAGAAGAATGCAAAGCTATCTGAAATTCAGTGACCGACTTTCTTCTGATTTACAGTAGAGAGGTGGGAGAGATGCTTCAGCGAGATCCGAAGGAAAGTTTTTACTGCCTGGTGCGTCACGGATCCTCTCTAGGATTGAAGTGCTGAGAGAGGCATTAACAGATTGCTGCCTGAAAAACAAACCTTATCCAAAATAGAAGTGTTGCCGCCCCACCAGTGTGCCAGACATAGTGTGCCAGCTTTGAGCGCGAGCAGAGTGCCAAGGCCCGGCCTTGATATCTTAGACCCCACTGTTAAGGAGGCTCATGGGACGCTCTGTAGCCCCAGTTGTGGCTTCCTGTTGGTGGTTTGGAGAGACGATAACTGTCATGATACTGTCCTCATTCATTTCTGTGGCGCAGCCCTTTAATACACTTTGCTGCCTCAACTGCACCTCCCTGGCAAAACACAGAAATCTTTTTTAACATTTAAACAGGAACCCTAATGAAGACACAGACCTGCGAAATTATTGAAATGGATGGTTATGATGTGAATACTGCCAAAGCTGAATTATTACTGTGCAGCTGTGTGCTTTAGTTTGTCTGGCAGACAGAAATTCATGCCTAATCTGCCATCTCATTAGACACCCTTGAGCTTCTAAAGTAACCTAGATCTGGGATCCTGGAACTTTGATGTACTTATCCTATCAAAAGCATTTTTGTCTTGAGGCCGCCCCTTTCAGAATTTTTTAAGCCCAATTATTCCTCATGATCTCTGAAAAACTTACTTATATTTATCTCAGCCTCACTGTGTCTGTAAACCATGGCTCATTTGAATCGCGCTCTATTCCCCTGCTGAAATCCAATATTCTCTCTTTTGCCAAAGGCAAACCCTACAGAACTCATGAAGAGGTGCACAAAGCGAGGTTGCCTCAATGTAGTTTCCCTGTGCGGGTACTAGCGAATGTGTATTTATGTTATTAAAACGAAACTGTTTATTTAAAAGCCTGTTTTTTGTGCAGTTTTGGTGTATTTATAAAGGTGTCTGATGTCTATTTGTAGAAAGTGAGTGCGTAACTCGTGGTTCTATCTGAATATGGATGTATGTGCACATATATGAAATAACATTATGTTTCACATTTTATATAAACAGAGCGATCAACAAGGGCCCCCGGCTATTTGAAGAAGTGATTATTAGTTATTGCCTCCTGAGGATTCAGATCACACGATGAGGCTCTTTAAACAGTTTCCTCCTGACTCTCAGCTCTTACAGCCGTGACTATCCAAACGCTACGCTGCTGCTGTTGTATGATATCAAATAATGAGGATGTACAAATTAATTTACATAATTGTTGTTTAATTGCAGCAGCCGACGGCGATAAGGCTGCAGCAGCCCCTGCTGGTAAGTGCCTTCATGACATGTAATCTGAGCCCACAAGCTGCGCTCCAAAGATCCAATTTATTTTTAAGTTATGCGCACTGTAATCAGGTACTTTACAGTTAACCAGAATAACCACCGAAGACTAATATTTAAATAAAAGCGTCTTGTAAAGATTGCTTAATTTTCTAACAAATGTTTCTCTCTCTCTCGTTTTCAGACCAGAAGGGTAAGAAAACCACATTAAGTGTTGGTTTGTCTCTGTGTCCCATAGATGTAAGTGTCTAGATCACCATCATCATCCTCATCATCTTCATCCTCATCATCATCATCATCATCACCATCACTGTCATCCTCATTGTCAAAATAATGTGTTTCTTTCCACTTACTCAGAGCAAGCAGAGGAGGAGGGTAAGACTTAAAGATGAAACAAACACAGAAGCAGTGAACTTCTGTGGTGATGGGACTGAGAGTGGAGATGCATGATCCCCACTGTGTCGCTGCCAGATACAAATACAAACACATACACGCGCATAAACAAAACACAACACACACACACACGCACACACACTATAACAGTTACTGTTCAGTCTTTCTCATTATTCTTTTATTAGCACGGAATTCAGAGGTTTATTTTCAGCACATAGATTAAATCAGGTGTTAAAATCGGGGGCAAACTAGAGGGTGTTTAATTTATGGGTAAGCATCACACTGTATGTATGCATATGTATTGTGTGAGCGTGTCTATGTATTCACTTTAGCTTTGATATACTTAAAACATATATAATTATGTACCTAATTCTGCACATGCATACAGCACATGCAAATTAACCCTCTGAACCCCAAAAACATGCCGGCAGGTTTGAAAGGCATAGTAATTATTATTACTTATTTATCAGAGCCAGAAACTGTAAAGAAATAATCGGTGGATTTTCAAGTTCCTGTCAGTTTTGGAACTGTTCATACATGACGTGATTAAAAAAAAAAAGGACCCAAATCTAAGCTTAAAACTGCTGTTTCACCAAAATCGTTTCATTCTACATGTCTCATTTGAACATTCATCCCAAATAAATTAGCCTTTAGGTTGTTCGACTTCACCGCAGGCTGTGTTTACGCAAAGTAAATAGTTGTCTGGTAGCAAACTTTCTATAGTATGTAGAGTCACCATTTATTTTCCAGTATTGGTGACATCTGTGGGCCCTTTTTTGTTGTTGTTATGATTTGTGGCATTTTAACTGCATGTACATATGACAGGAGGACAACACACCCAGACAAATGTTGGAGTTCAGAGGGTTCATAGTTCACATTTATCATGAGCCACGTTCACATTCTCCCTCAAATCCTATGTGTGCAGACAGCTGAAGTCTTAAGCCAGTGCAATTCTTAGTAAAATGAAATGCAATTTACAAATCTGATAATGATAAAAAATGATTAACCACCTATTTACTTGGTTGTTAAAGTAGGTTTCACTTCTCTATCTTTTGCCATCCTGTTGAGGAAAAACATTCATTATCTACGACATCTGTTACAGTCTAAATATTTATACTTTTACTGGCATGAAACAGTAGCAGTGCTTGTGTTCATCAGTCACATAGAGAGAAATCATTTAAAGAGCAGCCAGTTTCTCCAGCACCAGTAGACCACAATGCAATGCAGGCTCAATACCACCAGGGTTTAGAACAAAGGTGACGTGTTCAAACTGGCTCCACTGTGATTAGTGAGATTGGCTGCTGCCTTAACAAGCTGCACTGGCGGAAAATCAAACATGGGGGACATAGATTGTTATGAGGACACGAGTCAACTCCTCAAACTATTTGTTGGGCTTTTGTTTTTTTTAAAGCATACAGACAGGTGTCGAATTAGGAGATAAGCCAACATCAAGTGTTTTAGTAAGCTGTAGTGTACCTTGGCGTTGAGTCCACTGGAGGGATGAACGGCATTCTTCCTAAAGATATTTTCTTATTTGGTGTTTTAGGATAGAAGTGTTTCATCATACGATAACGACGATCACTCAGAACAACGTTGTATTGATTTGTAGTGACTCTTCCCACTAAGGGGACAAGTGGACCCAAACAAAGACAGCCTCAAACAGCATAACAGAGCCTCCAGAACCACTCACTGTAGGGTCAGAGGTCCAGGTTTTTCCTTTAATTTGTCTTAACTTTTAGATAGGTGGGTTTACAGTTTTTAAAAATGTATTTCCCAGATTTCATAGTTTCTAATTAACCCATGCAAATTTACATTTTAATTCCATTTTCAAGTTAGCAACCAGATGCACTTTGCTGTATGTTTATATGGAGTCCGACCAGTACACACAGGCAATCCTCCATCATTTTAGGTTAGTTTGTGTTTCTGACCGTCACTGTGGTTGCTTCATGAGGGTCAGTGTGTTTTCCTGCCTTGCCAGATTGCAAGATGATGCTGTTTTGTATGTGTGAGAAATACGTGTGTGCGATGGATTGAGAACAGCAGATTGTTCCTCTCATTTTAGTTCCCTGTGCGCCTGAAAATCTTGACCTTTCAAGTCCGATCTATAGTTGAGGGCAATACATTCGGTTAAAAGAGTCAAATTGTGTGTGGGCGGAGTAGCACACAGCAGAGTGTGTACATATGTACGTGTAGATCAGGTAGAATCATGTAATGTAGTTTATTGTTTGTCAGTCATCCTAATGCAGCATGTACATGTATGCAGGTAAAGATTTTCTCTGGCGCGAGCATATAATGAGTAATAAATAACGAGTCCCCTGAGATTAAATGCTCTCACTTGTGCATTTAAGTGTAGAATCCATTTGTGTTCTATGTGCACACTTTTAACTCACCTTGCTGGATTAAATGTCAATTTATATTACAGAGGCACTGTAATAGAGGGCAAGAAAGTTGTACACGTGTTTTTGAGTGTGTGTGTGTGTGTGTGTGCGCGCCCAGTTGCTGTCATTCAAGATGAATTACTACACAAACTTTCTGTGGCTCGCTGAGAGTGATTAAATGTGTGTGTCTGCAGGTGCAATGATGAGGCAGAGCACTGAGTTATACTAATACTGCAACTCATTTACACTCAGTCGCTGTCTTTGCAAAGGCAGCTTTCCCCAAAAGAGCCTATTATGAGCAAAAATGTGCACTGCAATAAACTTTACTGTAAAATTAGAGTAAAATACAGGCAGCTGTGGTTTGTATTTTACTGTATTATTACAATATTACAGCTGAAAAGTATTTAAAGTGTTAATGTCTGTACAGCTGATTAGACTTTAATGTTTTAATCAACATTAACTTATCATCTTTAACTGTAGTTATATATAAATTACATTTCCCTCATTAGCAATGAGGAAACATGGCCTTGAATTGCAGACATACACCATAAAAAACAACTTGTCTTCATATTTACGATCCAGATTCAAGCAAATTCAGCAAATTCAGCAACACGATACATTGTAATCTAATAAATATATTTTACAAAACAAGAAAAAAAATATTGAACTTAATGGAAAAGTAACAACTGCCTATCTTACCATATAACCCATTAATTTTTTTTTACAGGATCCCTGTTGTTTTTGGCTTCAAAAACGCATCAGATTTCACAGTGTTTAACTGTGTTTTGGAAAAACAGTGCACTACAGTAACGGTTTAGCCGTATTTTTATAATACAGTAATTTATTCCAGTGTAACATTGGATCTGACAGAAGATGGCAGGCGTGGTGTCAGTGTGCTCATACGTCCCTGACCTTTTGTTTAACCTGCCATCGCTTGTTCGCAGCTCATCTCATTTGCCAGTGTATCCTCTTTCCGTCGTGCCCACGATGTTTCAAGAATCTGCTGCTGCCACCTCTATCCGATCTCGCCTGGAAGACGTTCTGCCGTCTTGTTGGCCTGGTGGCCCTGACAGCATGACATAGATCAAAGAAATTGGCTGCAACGTTTATGATATGATGTTACTGCAGATTGCGGAGTTGGCTGCAATTAGCGGTGCTAAAATGTTGCACCTGATTTGATGGATGACAAACTCAAATAGTCCCAAATGGGAAGAGAGCGTCAACAGTGACAGACGCATGACGCTGCACGACATAAAGTCCCTCTCTGGTCATTGGATAAACCTCTAAAAACTCATCTTTCTGCATCAGAGTTAAAATTTGACAAGCTTTTCTTTCATTAAAATAATCCCTTTCTGCCTTTAAATGGCTCTTTTTCTTTGCACATCTCGCTGCAACTAAGCACACCAGCTCACCTTTGACTGTGCTCAAATTCTGAAAAATAACTGCTATGCTACACAATGGCAAGTTGCAACAGCGTAATTCAGCCAGAATGAAATCAGGAAAGTCTGAATCTGTGTTTTTGATCATCAGCACACTGCAGGTTTAAGGTGGAAATGCTCAACTCTTACATTTGATATTTATTTTGGTCATAATATGTCATCCAGCAAATAAGAAAATACCTGATTTACATGTTAAGATAAAAAAAAAAAAAAAACAACAGCTTGATTTTCACTGCAGTGACTTTAAAGGTGAACTCTACCTATTTCAGACACTTGTGCTCAGGTGTATGATAAAGTTGCATGAAGCCTGACTCTAGTGAGAGCTGCTTGATGTCTGACAAACCTCAGGTGATGCTACATGAGTCAAGACAGACTACAAGAAATGAGCGTACCAGACCTCTGCAGCTCTTTGTCTCTGCTTGAGGGTGGCGGTTTCATTAGCTGATCTGTTGGTTTCATTTGGAGAACGGACGGCATGTTAGGTGATGCTTCAGTACTGAGTCGATGCAAAATTTTGAAAATTTACTATAAATATGGTACCGTAGCTAAGAAAGTACTGCAGCTATCTAAAATGTCCTCATTCCCACTGTTAAACACTGTCAAAACTGCTGGTGTTTAAGAGATCAGCACAAAGTGTTGTTCGGTGTTGGTGCCTCCAAAGTCTATATTTAATGATATTTCCACAGATATGCAGTTATTTCCCTTTGAAGAGCCTCACAAGCAGGTTGGATGAATGGGGATGGGTTAAATTACAGGATTTCCACCAAAGAAACTGAAGTTAATGTCCTGTAATTAACCATAATTAATTAGGTTTAGAAAAAGATCATGGTTTGGGTTTAAATACATCCTTTCACAACATTAAGCTCATGCATGAAAAAAAAAAGTATTTAGATGTGGTGCCAGACGATTAAAATCCTCAAAACGGCAGCTTTATGTTCCCCTTTACATTATACATGTGGTTTCCTTGGCCTGCTGTAGAGATAAAGCACTGTCCGAGTTAAATAGGTTTGTGTTTGTGGCTTTACTCATCTGTTAAATTAACCGCATCGATTTATCTCTAAAATTATCGATGTAACTCGCAGCGGCGTGAAGCTCAGCATTATTCTGTCATACTTGCGTGTTTATGTACAGTCTGCATTTACATGGAATGCTTACAGTACATTATATCAGCATTACCGCTCATTTGGTCCTGCTTAACCTGTGCTTATTCTTCATTAACAGATGCCCAGCCTGCTGTAGGTAAGCGCTTTGCTTTGTCATTATCAATGTAAGCCTGTGAATGTGTGCGAGTCTGTGTGAGCGTGTGCAGCTCCAGCCTGTCTGAAGATGTTGTCTCAGTGAATGAGGCTTATGCATTGTCTTTAATCCGATCTTTGTTGATGCTGTTTTATTCATAATCACACACACACACACAAATCTCTGCAGTGTTACACGGTGGGAAGTGTTTTAACCCTTCATTATCCACATGACTAAATTCCATGTCCCGACTGTTTCCTTTTATTTAGCCAACAATGAGCCTAGGGACGGTAAGGAAAAGACAACACTGTAAACCCCGGCTTGCTTGTGCTTTTGTGCCTGTTTTGTGTATCCTACTCAAACTCTTCCTCCCTGAAGCCTGGGATTGCTCTGGTGACAGCCATCACTGTTGCTTAAGATGTCAGGTTTTTTTTACTCAGAAGATGCCAAATATTTTCTTTTTTTTTTTTGCAGAGATAAGGCCTTCATGATTTCTGGACATTAAGTTTAATAATAATCGCTGCAATAACTTTATTTATGCGGCAGACGAAAGTGACAAACTGCCTCATAGCAAATAGATAAAGGAACCTAAATCAAAAGGATGAAAACAATGCAAAGGTGCAACTTAAAAGCGACGCAAGCCACGGCAAATTTATCAGATAAGCTGTCAGATGAAACGAGATGACGGTAAAACAACTAAATAAAATACAAATATAACAGAAAACATCGAAGCTTGTGACAGTGTCTCGCAATCAAACGCGCTTCAAAGTAATTCAGAGTGTATTAGTGTTCTGACTGCTTCCACCAAAGCATCCGAGTGAACATCTGAGTGCTGAAAAGGGAAATGAACTGGAAAGGTTTATAAAAAGTAATATATCCTGCCCATGTGTCTGCTGGATATATGTCTCACTGTGTGCGTGACTACTCATCACTACTGCTGGAGAATGGTACGGTGCAATTATTATTATTCACAGCCACAGCGATGATTCTGCTGGTCATATCGTTACACTCTTAAGTGCTCCATGAGATTTAAGGAATTTGGGTTTTCAGTCCTGTGGTGCTCAGATGATAAATTAAACTGTGAAATTGCAGTACTGTACATACAGTGTTATACTGCGGCAGTATGTGCAGTGTTTTATTTTATGGGTGCATAATTATTTTCTAATCAGTTTCTGGGATGAAGTATGTAATTTGGCACTAATTTTAACCAAAATCTATTTAAGTAAAATTGGTAAAGAGAAAAATTATACCCTAGACGCTTTTAGCATATGTACAGCAGGTCCAGTGAACTTGAATGCTGCATTTTATCTACAAATATTAAAGACAGACAAATGACCTTTACTGTTTGCCTAACCCAAAGTTGGAGATTGGTCTTTGGTTTATAAGAAACTTGGATATCACGGCAATCAAAAATAACCCCAAAACACAGAACAAAACAGCAGATGAACAGTGAAAAGGTATTTACATTGATTTAACATTTTATTGCAAATGGGCTTCTTGCACATGCCAGACTGAAACAAGGTTAGGGTACGAGTAGTCTCCCTTTGTCAGTTCGTTCTGTAGCGTATAATGATCATCATTCTGCGATAAGGGAAAAAGAATGCTCTGGCTTGTTTATGTTTCTTTAAACCTGTTATAGGACGGGTGAAGCGAATGATGCAGCATTGGTGTGATAACCAATAAGGACACGCCTGTCAGAAGATGTATAGTACCTTGGGTGTAGAGTACCTGGTGCCTTACTTGGCAAGTGAGACCATTGTGGAAGTTTAGCGGTGTCAGTTAGTCTGTGTTGTCACGTGATCAGGGTCAAAGCAGATATGTTAGGATGTGTAATTATGCCTTTCATTCCCATATTATGTTGCCAATTAATTGAGAAAAAGCTTCAAAATTGGCATCCATAATTTGCATGCAGGCAGACAAACAGTATCATTTAAATGGATAATCCACCAATAAAATAAGTAAATAATAATAAAAATCTCAAAAAGACTAGCAGAGTTGCCTTCCTACACAATCCAAATCCTCTGCAAAACTTGAAATTTTCATTGTGGCAAGTTGTTTGCCCGGAGGTTGCTGTTTTTGCTGAAGAAAATGGTAACATAAATAGTGGAAGGGCAGGATGAAGCCACCTGAAATGAGCGGTCAGTGGCAGGCCTATACCCATAGAACACTAAAAATGACTGGAAATTAGTGCCAATTTACTGTTATCTCCAGAAATTATTACAAAATTATTAGCAAATATATAGTGTTACAGTTTTTTTAATGTGCTACAAATTGTTTAAAAATATTAGCAGGGTCTGTGGGTATAGCATAACAGTCCCCGCAGGCTTTTGTCCAAAATTTTAATCTCCCATTCCCAAAGCCAAGGACAGTGTCTGGAGCTAATTTCACTCAGAAACCTCATCTGAAACACTGAGCAGGTATCAAGAGTAACCGTGTACGAGTGTAAACATTCAAAAGTGTCCCCTGGGTTCCATTCCAGGATCAGTTTTACCCACTTAGCATTCTAACTGAAACCCCCTAAATCATCCTGAACATCTGAACTTGGATCCGTCCTCAGGGGTACTTTTGATTAAAAGATCAAATTAACTGAGCCCATAAAAGCAGAGGAGGAGGAGGAAGAGGCGCCGACAGCGTGGCTCTCTGAATTTATGGAGGCGCATGACCTTATCTGACACGTGACCCTGGATCCATTCTCTTAGCGACTGGTCTAGTCCAATGGATGTCCACACAGGGTCCTACTCACTCTACTTGATTGGTGGTTCGATGTGCCTTTATCTTCTTGTGCTTGTCAGTAAAACCTTCTTTTCTTCTAAAACTTACACTGAACGTAACAGAGACCAGACAGTTTGTGCAGATTAAGTGCAGTTAACCTGTTCACTTCAGCCCAGTTCAAATGATTTCTGAACTTGTTGTCTTGTTGAACACATAACTCATTAATCGTTGCTTTTGAGAGAAAAAAAATTAAGAAAAAAAAACAGGATTTGTTAATTAGAGTCAGAGAAAGAAAGATGTGTTTTTTTGGAGTGTGAGAGCACGTTGATTTAATGTGTGAGTGTTCCTCACCTGAAGTCAAGGTTATCATCGGGCCAATTAACGCTTGTGTTTAACGGCACAGCACAGGTACTGTACCGACTGACGTGTCCCTCGCTTTCTCCTTTTTTCCCCTCCCTCTGATGCAGAGTTGCCTCCTGATGGTAAGAGAAATGAATATGTTTGCGTCTCTGTAAAGCATATCAACTGACAAGCAAACACCTTACAAAGGTTACATCAATTTACTTGCAAAAGAAACAGGTGAGCGGATAAAAGAGCAGCTCGTTTTTTTTATTGCCAAGATAAGACTGTACAGCTTCAGCTTAAGTTCTGTCGGGTGGCGGATGATTGCACAGAGTCAACCTTAATATCATGTCTTCAAAGGTGATCTGAGGAGTTTCTTTATTCCCTGTTGGTCAGTCTGTTCCAGGGGGCTTCTTGTCATTTATTAGAAGGTCCCAAATGACTTATGCAGTGTAAAGGCAGAATGCAAACACTCTGGATGGTTTACTCATGGAGAGACTGTTGCTCAGTTTTAGCGCTAAATACCTACACAATGAATAAAACGCCTGAGCTCAGATAACAGAATTTAGTGGTTTGAGACTCCTTTTTGTCCCAAGTTTCCAAAATGATCATCAAACAGGCATTTTGCAGTAAGAGCACCAGGATTAAGGAGATGATTTGGTGGTTTGCTTGGTCCCCTTATTCCCTGTTGTTGTCTCCAGTCTGTGTGGCTTCATCAGAGTGGTGCCAAGATCATGTTTTTCTCATATTAACTTGTCCTCTGTGATCCCTCCATCCACAACCCACCACAGAACATGCACCAGGGGAGGGTCCTCAGCTGTCCGAGCTGAGCGGCATGTTCGTGGAGAAGCCGGAGAGCGTCACAGCAACAAAAGGTCTGGCGCAATGATCGGCCATAAAAGCCCTGAATTACATCCAAAATGAAAGGAGTGGCCGCTTAGTGCCAAATCGCGGCCGTAATACAGACACTTCATCTATTTTAATTAATCACTGTGTCTCATCTTTGTTCTTGGCAGGCAAGGACATCACATTCGTGGCTAAAGTGGATTCCTCAAACCTGACGAGGAAGCCTGCCATGAAATGGCTGAAGGGGAAATGGCTGGACCTGGGAAGCAAAGCTGGGAAGCACATGCAGTTCAAAGAGTCTTACGACAGGAACACCAAGGTACAAGGTCTCTCATGTTTGTGTGTCAATGTGGAACCCTGTCTCTACAAAATTAAGATCATGCACAACTAAACTAGATCCTCAATCTTGTTCTGAAACTTGTATTTACTCAACTATGACATCATAAGGAAAAACTAAGTAGGGGAGGTCAGACACATAGCTCACTGGATATCCTCCCACAGGATGCAGACGTCTGTGTGGGACCATTATTCTTAAGTTTAATTTTCACTCATTTACCTTCAGTTTTCTTCAGGTTTTCACAGAACACTATGCTACTTTTCTCCCTAAGGGATTAAACCACAGGAAAAGTGTTTTTTGACTTTTTCATTTAGCAGAAAATGTGTCACAAGATTAGTAGGGAAAGACCCAAATGCAGACACCACAGACAGACAGGTAATAGTGCAAAAGAAACTTCAATGAAACTTACTCAAACGGTCGTAACAGAGGATGGCAGGAGAGCAAACGAAAGACAGCGAGAGGTCCTGGAAAAAATCCAAACTAAAAGTTCAGGTGAATATAAAAATTATCCAGAGAAAACCAAAAAAAAAGAAAAAAAAATCCAAAACGGTTACAAAAGCTTAGCATCAAACTGTTGCAAGAAATAAAGAAACACAAAGGCGCTCTAAAAAGAACACAGCGAAGAACTTCGGCTGGAGGCCTAACAAGAGGGCAGCAAACAGGACAAACTGGGAAAGACACATTGTTTATACACTCAGACCTGAGACACAGGTGAAGCTAATTGGGCCAATCACAAAGGAGGGAAAGACAGACAAAGGGAAGTAAAAACACAAGAGACACACATGAATCTTTTCAAAATAAAACAGGAAAAACTGAACAAAACCCAAGACCTTGACAAAAAGTGAAAGATTTTTGTGCTTCAGCATTTAATAGCTTGACAGACGGAGAGCTATTTAATGTGCTATAGATGTTTAGGATCCTTATAGGATGAATTCTAAGGAGGTTGGCCCACAATGAGCCGTGACTTTTCCTATTGTACTGTTATTAGGTACGACTTTGTGTTGAGCTCAGCTGTAATTATGTTTGTCGAATTAGTAAATTATAGCAAGCTAACTTGTAAACAGAAACACAGGACAGATCATCATTTTGGGCGCCCGGATAACTCGGCGGGTAGAGCAGGCGACCCATCTATAGGGGCTTTAATCCCTGATGCAGTGGCCGTGGTTCGATTCCAGCCAGCGGCTCATTTCTGCATGTCATTGGACCACTCTCCTGCCCACGTTTCTCTGTCTATCTTTGCTGTCACTATCCTTAAAGGCGGAAAAGCCCAAAAAATAACTTAAAAAAAAAAAACAGATCATCATTTTGAAGCCTTGCACTTGGAATTTGGTTGTTGTCATCTGGGTGTGACAAGTGAATCTAAATCTGAATTTGAGGATGTATATTTGTTATAATGAGAGCCTTTTTATCACAGCTTCTTCGCCAAGTTTGAACATATGCTGAGAAAAGCCGAGATGTTGCACCCTGTACAAAATTCTTTGCAGAAATGTGTAATCAAACAAAGTCCAGTGAGTGACTATGGTCCTGATGGTTTCATCAACAGACCAGAATTGGTGAATCTGTGTTGTGTGTATTCTCTGAGCATGTGTTTGTGAGCACATACCACATATCCGTGCATGTGTGTGTGTGAGCCTATTTAATCTCATACGTTTCCACCACATCAACTGCCCTCTTTCTGTCAGATCTACACTTACGAGATGAGCATCATCAAAGTAGTGGATGCAGACGCAGGTGGCTATCGCTGCGAGGTCACCGCCAAAGACAAGTGCGACAGCTGCACATTCGACATCACTGTGCAGGGTAGGTCTGGAGACAGATACTTAATCACATTATTGTCATCTTCCATTCAACGTATCCAACGTTACTATGTAACTGGCTTTGTCAGCCAATAACTCAGTGAGTGCGATGCACATTAGGTCCTATCATTTAGTGGCCTAGCGAGGTCATCAGTCCATTATTCCTTTGCTGCTATAGCCCACTGCGTAATGAATTAACGTAGCTGAGCTCTCACCAGCCTTTCTCCTTCTGTCTGTTTTCAGCTGTACAAGAGGACCAGCAGGACAACATCTTGGAGGCGTTTAAGCGATCGTGAGTTTCAGTGTCGGCGAGGGTCTACTCAACATGTCACCAGTCACACAGTCTCCCATATGCTCCTCTGTAGATCGCTGCCTCTGGGCATCTGTCAGTCTCCCCCAGTGTCTCTGCCCATGTGTCTGTCTATCCCTCACTTGTAGTCGACTTTGCACGAGTCAGTCTGTCTGCCACCTCTCTCTTTTTGTCACGTCTCAGTGCGTCTGCTGCCTCTGTGTTTTGCCTCACCTGGAGTCCCCCGTGGTTTGGTTTTGGGATCTTATGTATTTCGTCACATGTCTCAGTAACAGTCTCTGAAGGGACTTTTTTCTTTTTTTATACCTAACTGTTTCCCCTCACTGTCTATTTCTGTCTCCACTCCTGTCTTTGTGAAGTGTGTCTATGCATGCATCTCATGACTGTGTACCTTTATTTAATGAGTTTTTTTTCTCCCGCTGTATACTGTACCTGTGTGTGTACTTGCCGTGTGATTGTAAACCAGCCAACACCTTCACGCTGACACCTTGAGTCTCCATATTTGTAATCTGTGTTTAAAAATATAATTTCCTTCCCTCATTAGAGCTCAAGCAGAAAGATGAGAAATGCAACATGCAAGCAGACAGCATCAAATTGTGGTTTAGACAGAATGTCAGTGTGCTTATTTGCAGAATGCTGATATGAGGAAGAGAGGGTGAAGGAGAGAGGCTGGTGTGATAAATGAAAAGTGAAAAGTTGGTTAAAACTGAAATATATTGCTGGAGAGATAATGTATGTGGAGGTCATGCAGCTCAGCCTCCACAAGGTAAGCATGGAGCATTAGCATTTGCTCATTTGTGTGTTTCTCTGAACATGTGTTACAGCATCTTACGGCCTTCTTTAGGACACTCGGTCCTACTTGCTCATTTCTTTCTGGAATTTTATTTATTCCAAACTTTCACGTGTGTTTCATTTCTGAAATAGCCCAAGCTCTTCATCATGTACCCCAGGCATATCAGACTATTTTTTCTTCTTCATGTTGTGTCTTCACTGAGCGGTCAGCCAGCTGAAAGGGCTTCAAAGGGGAAAAAGAAACAGAAAATATTCTGTGGAATGCATACAGTATGTTGACTCTGCAGTCTGGGACTGTTTCAAGAGCTTGCATTGTTAATATACTACATTATGTTTATTCTTGACAAAGAAATGCGTACCAGTTTTTAGACTGTTATGACAACGTTGAAGAAGGCCAAAATAATGAATTCAACCATGCCTAAAAAATGTCAGCTAAGACATAAAATTCAATTTTAATTTATTCCAGGGTGAGTCGTGATTGACTAGTCTTATTGCTGCAACATAACACCAAGAAAAGAAAGGATGCATAAAAAAAAAAAAAGGACGCCAGCAGCTATACAAGTCAAAGTGGCTAAGCTTCATCCAGGCGAAGGCTCGCAGTCCATGCATTGCAGCATCAAATGTGTGTTGCTCAGTGCTGTCCCCTTCACAGTCCACACTCACACACATGACAATTCCTTTGAATCGTTGTGTGTTTTTCTGTCACTCCCCATTTGAACGAGAAGCATTTTTCACATTAAAAGTTTTGCAGTAGAATTTTGTGTTTTGCGCTCGCTCAAACCATGAAGAGGAGCTCATCACAGTAATCGCCTGACCTCAATCTTCATGCGAACTTCCAGTCCAGCTTTTTCACATCAATGAACTTTTGTGTTGACGCAATAACATCCTGCAGTGCCCTGCTTCCATCATTTGGTGTTTAATGATGGTGGCTGTCTGTCGCAGTGCTCCAGAATCTCTCAAAAGTGCTCAAGTAGGTTGAGATTTTTCAATTGTTGTGGCCACAGCACACAACTAACACTGTTTTCATGCTCACCCAACCATTTGGTGGTCACGTGTGCCCTGCGAATGAGGGCATTACCACCCTGGGAGAATGTAGTCCCATCAGGATGGCAAGGAGAGCATGGATGAATGTTATCCTTGGATGAACCGTTCATCCATAGGACGAGCATGATCACTCAGAATGGCTTTGAATTTATTGGCATTTATCTTGCTCTCCGAGGGGTTCAATGAGCCTCAACCATGCCAGGAAAACACACTCCACGCTGTAAAGGAGCTGCCAAAACCATTCACAGTGGAAAACAACAAGCACTCGATCCTGTAGACATTTATTGGCGTGTGCCACACACAGTACTTGTCACCTTGTTGAGCACAAGAGGGTGACTGATGACTCAACACCACACAACAGTTTTCCCATCACTTTATACTTGCAAATGTGCATGTAAGGGGTAATAAAGGGTTTTATGTAGGGGAGCCGACCCATTTCAGTTTGGGATTTCCCCCCCAGTGTTCTCAGCATATTATTCTGCATGAGAATGACATTTTTTATTGACTCTAAAGTGTGTACAACCATTCTCTGATCTCTACAACTTGCATACAGCATTACTTTTAGCCACATCAGTGCTACTATCACCTTAAATCGGGCTCAAACTGTAAGAGTTTCAGGCTGATTTACCCCCATTTCACCCCTTCTGACAATCGGAGGACAAATCTGGCATGGAATCTTAATCTGACACGATGTTTATCCCAGATTATTTTTATAACATGAGGGGTTTACAGATCCAGTCTTAAACCTCACAAACTGCTTGCCGACCCAACAGGGCCCCTACAAAAATAATACATGTTTGATATTTATGAATAAAAATGCAGATGGTTAAGATAATTGAGCTACACTTGGCTACATTATTAAAATTGACCGTTAGTCAACTGTGTTGACTGCGGCTTCCCAATCATTTTCTCATCCAGACTCGTTTAACTTTCTGCTTTTGCTTTCTTCTCTCTGCAAAGTATTATTAGAGTTACAGCAAGTTGTTGCGCCACAGTCTCCATTTTGTTCACATCTGTTTCCCCATCAGATCGCATGTGTTGGTGCACTGCTCCCTCTGGTGTGATTATCTTACTAATATCCTGTAATATTTGAGGTGCCAGTATTTTCTAGTCTTGCAGTGTGTGCATATCTGAGACTATTTTCACTTTATGTGTGTGACACTGCCCAATTTCAAAATCAGTTTTAAAACTCTTCCAGTTTGGCCTGACTTTAGCCATACTTCCAAACTTGCCCAATCTGAAGTTTTCACTATTGTTTGATCCACAGCAGCCAAAATAAGAGCTGTAATGGCTCTTTTGGCTCAGGTTTCTCAAGTAATGAAATTTTATTTGCCTAATGAACCGCATTCATGACAGAGCATTTGTTTCCAGCCTCCTTTGTTTCCTCTCACACCAAAACACTTGTGCTGCCTGTAATACGTACAGTGTTTGATGCTTATGATGTTCATTCTGCTTATTGCTGTCGTGTCTGTTGCTTACATGTTGCTTGTCTGTTGTAATTTTTATCTGCCGCTTGAATTTAGGGCATGCTGGTAGCTTGTAGCTCTCATCAGATGCTCTGCTCTGCTCTACGTTGTCTATGTTCTCTCTATTTTTGCCGGGCACAGGGTGAAAAAAGAGTAAGCTTTAATTACAGGCACACATTCATCACAGGTCCGCGGTGTTCAGTTACATTTGTTCATGTTGCTTTTTGTTGTTATTGTAGTTCTAGAGTTACTGTGCTTATTTATAGTTCTGAGTAATTTGGAATAAGAGGAGATGCATTGTTGAATGTGTTATCAATGCTGTTTTTCTCGCTATCCAGTGTACCAATAAAACAGGTTGAACACATGATTAACTCCAAATCTTTTCTCTTTTAACGCCAGTGGAGATGCAGGTGAGGATGCTGGAGATCTTGACTTCAGTGCGCTGCTCAAGAAAAGGTAAGATTACTTATATTTTCAGAGGTTTATATGCATTAATGTTGATTTACCCTCTAGTTAATATGTTATTCACCAATGTTCAACAGGGAGAGGAAACAAGAAGGGCCAAAAGAAGAGGTGGATGTCTGGGAAATTTTAAAGGCAGCCAAGCCCTGTGACTATGAGAAGATTGCCTTTGAGTATGGCATCACAGACCTGAGGGGCATGCTGAAGAGGCTGAAGAAGATGAAGAAGGTGGAGCCCAAGAAGAGTGATGGTGAGGAGCGAGGGAAGAGACAGGAGAGGGGTTACGAGGCAAAGGCAGACTGTGCATTAGGAGTGAGACGGCAGGCAGGAAAACGAGACCTCTCTAATGCAGTAGGCTGTAAATACCAACAGCATTTAAAGGCCTCGAGGGACACGTTATATTGCTGGGACAACAGGTGAAATGTGTGTTAGCTTATGCTTTCTGCTGGTTGGCACGTATAGATTACTTGGCTATTAAAGCAGTGGTTGAAATATCCTAACAGGATATTTTCTTGTCAGCTTTCCTGAGGAAGCTGGATCCAGCCTACTCAGTGGACAAGGGCAAGAAGATCCAGCTCACTGTGGAAGTGGCCGACCCTGACGCTCCTATCAAATGGCTCAAAAATGGACAGGAAATCAAACCATCGGCCAAGTGAGCCTCATTACGCTATATGTGTCTGTGTGTACATGAAAGGTGTTTGTGTTATGGACCATGACATTAAGGGAGTGTACGAATATGCTTAGTCCGATAATCACTGTCATTTAATGAGGTAAAGGGACAAGGGTAGTCAAGACATAGTGACAGAAGATGTAGTGTAAAATTATAGGCTTGAACGTTGATTACTTTGACACTACCACAAGGCCTTTAAGTCAAAGCTGGCTTTGCGTGCGGACTGCGGACAGTTGTCTTAACCGATAAAAGGCAGTCTTAGTAATCAATAATCAATCAATCAGTAACATAAAATGAACTCAGAGGACTTAATTCCATGTGTTGATGACACAGCTTTGAATGCAATCAACGACTAGCCGTTAGCCCACCAAAAACACAACAGGTCTATCCAGGAGGCCTAAGTGTCACAACAAACTGTCTCATAGTGGCCCGTTGCTTGCTAAACTCCCACAATGTTCTCTGCTTGCCGACGCTGAACTGCTACAAATCTGAGTGACCGCCTCCTTGGGTCGTTACAGTGTTATACAGTAAGAGGCTCCATCTTGTGGCACATCTAGGAACTACAGCTGATGTACAACACATTTTCCTATATGCAGGTCCTGCCTTATCAGTTAGTTAGCGAGCTGGTCTTATTATACAACCTTCTCATCAGCTTATAGGACAAGTTCCATATATGTGAAATAGAATTCTGTCTACATTTTCTACAAATGCACAACTGCTGCTGTGAATGCTCACATTTGCCCTTGTAGTGTAGTAGTGTAGTGATGATTATTTTTGCTGTAAATTTGGACATTTTAACGTGGCTGTCTATCGGGATTGACTCACTTTTCTAACCAGTTAACCATAAGTTTTGGAGGCTACCACTTGGGTTTGCCACTCACTGCCATTCTAGTAGTTGCTGCAGTCAGAAAAAAACAACAAAAAAAACAGTAGAAGGGCAGCAGGAGAGCGCAGACCTCTGCCAAAGCAAATAGTCCACCTTCTGTAATACGTAAATGCGCAACCAAAACCAAATTTAATGATTTCCTTCTTCCTATCTCTTTAACAAGTTTTATGAAAATCGGCCTGGTACGTTTTGTGTAATCCTGATGAAACCCAAACTCAGACAATAAAACCAACAAACAGTCATGAAAAGATTTCTTCCTTGGTGAGGGAACTCAGCACACATCTGGGAAACACAACAGGGAGGAGGTGAGGTGGTTAAAGAAGAGGTAGCAAGCAAAATTCCTGTCACTTTCTGTCTGTGTCAACTTTAATATCATTTTAAACCTGAAGTAACTGATATTTTCACCACTCGTGTGTTTTGTAAAAAGCTGTAAACCCAACACTGACGCATTAACTTACATATTATGTCTAATTACACATCCAACGCACACAGAGGAACATTATGATTGGTTTGGAGTCACATTTCTGTCACCCAGTAAGTCCAGTATTCATGCTCTGTTTTAGTCTTCAGTGAATCCACAGTTGAACCAGTTAATTTAGAACTGCATTTGTTCGCTGCTTGCTGCTGGACAGGTAGGGTACACTTCGTTTAGCTGAAAACAGCTGGCTGCCGCTGCCAAATCGAGGTCTCTGCAGAACAAGAGTGGGTGTTCCTCATTGTTCCACAGCAGTTACACATGGTTAGGGGTTAGGGTTAACGGTTGTGGACGCCCACTTCTGTTCTACAAAATTCCTTAGTTGCTGCTCCTCGAAATTAGGTTGTTGAGAACGCTAAAATCCAAATAGTACTGTTGCAAGCCAAAAAAGTGGAACTATGAACTGAGATCAATAAATGAAAACTGGAGAACTGGTTGCTGCAAATGACCTTTCCTCATTACACATGTATTTAATTTTTCCTCTGTACATCTCCAAATCTTGATAACATTTTTCTCAAAATTTCCACCAATACACACTTCAGAGGTAGCCACAATACGTACATCTTGTGGAAAGAAATGCAACGTCTTCATATTCATTTGCAGCTCTACAGTGCTTGGTTGCTTATAGCAGCATTAGTTACTTATTTAACAAGCTTAACTGCTCCTGCTTCTGCTGCTATAAATGCCCTATATTGCTGCTGTATATACATCACAAGCTAATAGCTACAGCTAGGTCCCGGCTTTAAATAATTTACTTTACTGGCTCGGTTGCTGTAATTATGTTGGTAACATTATTGCAATTTCAGCCAAGCCAGGTCAACATTATTTAAATAACACATTTAAAACAACAGCAGTTGAGCCAAAGTTCTTTCCAGCAAGGTTAGTATTATGAATTTACCCAGGAAGTTTGAATTTAAAGCTTAAGATCCGTTGCTATTATTAATTATGTAAATGTCTGAGAACAAGTGAAATGCCATGGCCAAGACTCGACAATAATATATAAAATGAAGATTTACCTAAGTGATTAAATATTAAAGTAGAGAGCCAACAGTATTATACATATAGTTTTTAAAAAATCTTTAAACTAACTTTAACGTTAAGGTAAACAACCTACAATGATATATATTCTAACAAATTAACCAAATAATAAAAAAATGAGAAGAACTGACGTCTAGCAGGAAGAAACCTCCAGCAGAACCAGACAATAAACACAACTTGTGTGTTTCACGTAAAGTAAAAGAAACTTCATGTGTTTGCTGGAACACTGGGTACTAGGGAGGGTGTTCGCAGCCTAATGAAGAGCATCTGGTAATTAGTTGGAGCACAGTTGATTACAAAAGCTGTTCAGGTGCTGTGTGGGCATGAGACTGTGTTCTGTGAAGGGTTAATTTAAGGCTCCTGAGGAACTGTTCTGACTTTGGTATACGTCTAACAGTGGATATATGTTAGTTTTTGGCCTCTTTAGGCTGCTGAGCTATATCCAGTGTCTCCTCTTTGCTCCTTTCCCTCCTCCTTCAAAGGCTCCTTTTGGTGTTTTATTGAAGAGGGTACAGCTGTTGCGAGTGGTATTTTTTCAATGGCACCACCATCTGCTATTTCGAGAATCTTCATGCTGTTCATGGAAAGTGAAGCAGCCCTCTTCCTGTTATGATTAAGAGAGTTACGACGTGTGAGGGGACTTTTATTTTGCCCCGAACGGAGCCTCCTCCTCGGAGGTCTTTCCAGGCTGTGCGCTGTGACCGTGGAGCTCTAACAAATCAAACGTCTCAGGTTGCAGACTGAAAGCCACTGGGATTAGGATATTCCTGGTACAATCCTGGTCTTCTTTGTTTCAAATGAAACAAACCACTTCTGTGGCTTCGATGTAAAAACAAAACTGGGACCAAACTGCATACATAAATAATTAATAAGAAGCAAACATCTTATTATGACCAGCGGAGATTTAGCATTTAGCCACACTGTGAAGATGAAGGTTTTCTAACAGTTTTAAAATTTGAACAATTTATTGTTATTTTAAAGATTTTTATTGTTTTGTTGATTTACAAATAATGTGTTGTGAACCCTTAGAAAAAAGCATTAATTTTCATGTTAACCCTAAAGAAATAGA